TTGGAGTCTCACTCTGTCGCCCAGACTGGAGTGTAGTGGCACGCTCCCGGCCACTGCAGCCTCGACTTGCTGGGCTCTGGCGATCCTTCCACCTCAGCTTTCCAAGTAGCTGGAACTACAGGCGCGCGCTACCACGCCCGGCTCATTTTTTGATTCATTGTAGAGATGAGGTCTCGCCAAGTTGCCCAGGCAAGTCTCGAACCCACGGGCTCAGGCAATCCACTCACCTCAGCCTCCCAAAGGCGCGGGATTACAGGCTGAGCCACCGAGCCCGGCTGGCTTCCTTTTATACCTCTCTCTCCCCCCACTGGCCACTAGACTCCAATCATCCTGGCCTTTTTTTCCCTTGTTCTTTCTTTCTTTTTTTTATTTTTATTTTTTGAGTCAGAGTCTTACTCTGTCACCAGGCTGGAGTGCAGTGGCACACTCACAGTCACTGCAGCCTTGACCTGCTGGACTCAGGTGATTCTTCCCCCTCAGCCTTCCAAGTAGCTGGAACTATAGATGGGCATCACCACACCTGGCTAACTTTTGGTTTATTACAGAGACAAGGTCTCACCAAGTTGCCCAGGCTGGTCTGGAATTCCTGGACTCAGGCAGTCCTCTTTCTTCGGCCTCCCAAGGTGCTGGAATTATAGGCATGAGCCACTGTGCTCAGCCTTCTTTCCTTTTTTCTAATATGCAGGCTCCTTCCTGTTTAATAATTCAATAAAATGTTATTTTGCATGGAATGCTAATTCTCAGCCTCTTCTGTTCGTTCACAGGTGTCAGCTGCGATGTTGGGTCCTTAGGAAGGCCATTCCTGACATCACAGCCTCTATCTCCTGCCATACACTTACATAGCACTTTGTCCTTTTTTGTTCCACTTTTTACCTTTGTAATAAAATGTTCAGTATTGGCCAGGCGCGGTGGCTCATGCCTGTAATCTCAAAACTTTTGGAGGCCGAGGCAGGGGGATTACTTGAGCCCAGGAGCTCAAGTCCAGCCTGGGCAATATAGCAAAACCCCATCTCTACAAAAAAATTAAAAAATTAAAAAATTAGCTGGGCATGGTGGCTGCACCTGTAGTACCACCTACTTGGGAGGCTGAGGTAGAAGGATTATTGAGCCTAGGAGGTCAAGGCTGCAATGGGCTGTGAGCATGCCACTGCACTCTAGCCTGGGCAGCAGAGTGAGTTTTTGAATTTAAAAAAAAAAAAAAAATTTAGTATTTCCATGTCTTTCTCTCCCAGCAGGCTGTAAGTTCCGTGAGGAAGAGTCCAAGGGGATGACCAGTTTGTAAACCATTGTTTCTAATGTAGTATGAAATAAGCCGTGAATGAGGTTGCATGTAATGCCACCAGAAGCATAGAGGAAGTCCGCTTCCCTGGACAGACAGCCCTCCCTGATGAAGTGCATTCAAGTCGTATTTTGAAGGATATCTAACAGTACATTAGGGAGAGGCCAAAATGCATGCAGGAAAGGCATTCTAAGGAGAGGGAATGAAATAAAGGCACAGAGGTAGCAATTTGCAGGAGGTATTGTTCAGGCAACACAAGTAGGTCAGTAAAGCTGGAGGTTAGAGTACTTTATTAAAGGGTAGAAGGCACAGGACAGAAGACAGCCGGCTGCAGGGGCTTGTGCCTGTAGGCCCAGCTACTTAGGAGGCTGAGACTGGAGGATCACTTGTGCCCGGGAGTTCAAGGCCAGCATGGGCAATTTAGGGAGATCCCATTTCTAAAAATGTAAAAAAAACTTAGTGGGGTGTGGTGGCATACACCTATAAGCCCAGCTACTCAGGAGGCTGAGGTAAGAGGATCGCTTGAGACAAGGAATTCAGTTCAAGGCTACAGTGAGCGATGATTGTGCCACTACACTCAAGCTGGGTAACAGAGCAAGACACTCTAAAAAAAAAAAAGGAGAAGGAAAAAAAGAAAATAGGGCTGGAAAGGTGCACAGCATCAGATTGTGAAGCTTACTGAAGGACATGCTAAGGAACTTGAAATGGCAGTGAGGAACCAGATCAGTTGCACAGTTCACTTAAGCTAAAATAATGGAACTTCACATCATTACTTAGAGGCTATTTCAGCCGTATTTTTATTACAGTTAAGAAACTGAGGCCTAACCGGGATCGGTGGCTCAGCCTGTAATCCGCGCCTCTGGGAGGCTGAGGTGAGTGGATTGCCTGAGCCCGCAAGTTCGAGACCCGCCAGGGCAACTCGGCGAGACCTCATCTGCACAATAAATCAAAAACTAGCCGGGCGTGGTAGCACGTGCCTGTAGTTCCATCTACTTGGAAGGCTGAGGCGGAAGGATTGCCGGAGCCCAGCAGGTCGAGGCTGCGGTGGCCGGGAGCGGCCACTGCACTCCAGCCTGGGCGACAGAGTGAGACTCCAACTCAAAAAAAAAAGAAAAAGAAACAGAGGCCTGGCCACTGGTCTTTGCCTTCCCTCTTCCCTTTTCTTAACTCATCAAGAAGTCAAGCCTCAGTCGGACAGAAAACCATGCCAGATCTGCAGGAGGGCACAGGAAGGGGTGAGGGGAGCAAGTCTCCTCCTTTCTCAGGGAGAGAATAAGACCATGGCCACACTCCTGGCCTTAGGCAGAAACCTCCCCAGAATAGGAAAACTCAGACATCCCAGTGCTTACCCAAAACCTCAAACGTGCCACCTCCCGGGGATGGTGATTGTCTGGCTTGTGGCGGCCTCCTGGGGCTGGGCCAAGGACATTGTGCCGAATGCCAGGGAATTCCCGCTAGTGCACTCATCACCCACTCAAGAGCCAGTGGCAGCCAACAGGCAATGCTGCACCATTAAGGTGTTTGTCAAGAAGCTGAGCTGGGCATTGTGGGCGATCCTGAGGGCCCTTTTTAGACCGGCTGTAAGAGAAGAAGAAGAAGAAAAGAAGCCGCATTTGGAAGCAAACTTGTGGAAGTGTGGAGGGCGCAGCATGACAGAGAGAGCCCTCCCCCGAGGCAGGAACACGTGGCTCCATTTCTGGCACCCCTACCAACTTGCTCTGTGATTTTGAATAAGTCATTTCCCCTCTCTGAGTTTTACTTTTCTCTTCTGCAAAACAAGCATGTTAAATGAGATGATCTGTAAGTATTGTTGACCAGTGCATTTTCTAGGTACCCGAATGGTTGTGCTTTCAGTATGAAATTTTAAAAGTTAGTCATAGCCTGGTGCAGTGGTTCATGCCTGTAATCCCAGCACTTTGGATAATGGAGATGAGAGGATTACCTGAGCTCAGGGGTTCAAGACTAGCCTGAGCAACTTGGCAAGACCTCGTCTCTACAATAAATCGAAAAATCAGCCAGGCATGGTGACACATGCCTGTGGTTCCAGCTACTTGGAAGGCTGAGGTGGAAGGATCACCTGAGCCCAGCAGGTCGAGACTGCGGTGGCCATGAGCATGCCACTGCATTCCAGCCTGGACACAGAGTGAGACTCCAACTCAAAAACATAAAAATAAGAGTCATAACCCAGGCTGGCTCAGCAGCAAGGCTGGGACCTCAGCTGTATGGACAGTGGAGGAAGCAGGGTCTCATGCGATAACAGCAGGAAGAAATTAATGCAGTGACAGGGCTGATGCCTGAGGAGTCACTAGAGAGAACTAATGATTTGGTCTGACAGAAATGACCAAAGGTGGTATCAATCTATTGCTGAGGATGTGGCAGCAGGAAAACAGGCAGTAACACTGTGAGAACGCGCACCATGTGCCAGGATTTGCTAAATGCTGAATGTGCGTACAGCAGTGTCCTGTTGCTGCTGTAACAAATTATCATAAATTTTAAAACAACACTGACATCTTATATTTCTGGAGTTAGAAGTCTGAGGCAGGTCTTAGGGGACTGAGATCAAGGTGTTGGCAGCGACGCATTCCCTCTGGACAGCCCTTCCTGGTCTCTTCCAGCTTCGAGAGGCTGCCCACATCCCTTGGTCTGTGGCTCCTTCCAGCAGTGGCATCGCTGCCATATCTGCTTCTGCCTTCCACCACCTTCTCCGACTCTGATCTTCTGCCTCCTCTTGTAAGGACTCTTGTGACTCCTTAAGCCACCTAGATAATCCAGGATAATCTTCTTATCTGGAGAGCCTTAGCTTAATCATATCTGTAAAGTCTTTTGCCATGTAAGCTAATGCATTTACAGGCTTTGAGTATTAGGTTGCAGATGTCATTGAAGGGCCATTATTTTATCTACCACAGGGCATCATCTTACGGAATCCTCCTAACCCCCCTCCTTATGTCATCTCTACTTCACAGATGAGGAGCATGATGCTTAGAGAAGTTAGGTCATTTGCCCAAGGACACTCAACTGGAAAGAGAAAAGGTTAGACGACATCTGGTATATGGTGTCATCTTGGTCTGAAGTGACCTGTCTTTTCAGATAGGACCCCACCCAGCTCCCAGGTGTATAAGGAATACAGTCTCATGCCTCGGAGAAGGCTGTCTGAGAACCAGGTGGGAATCTGAGACCTTGAAAGCCAGATTAGGGTCATAGCAGTCTCAGTGTAGGACTTGAGTGCCAAAACCCACCTGTGAGGGTTAAACTAATATAACAATGCATGGGAAGGGTGATTCTAGGCCACCCTTCATGCCAGTACACAGTGACGCAGTGGAATCTCAATGTTGGGGTTGAAGCTGCTAATGGACTGTTTGCTGAAGTAGGGACAGGCCAAGGAGATGGGCAGGGAAGGATCCAGAGATGACTACAGAGCTGAAGCACAGAGGGCAGGGACCAGCTACTGAGCCGATGCTAAGGGAAGGCTTTTCCAATGAGTAACATACTTCCTGCCTTAGTGGATTATAGGTGATACTGAATTTAACATGTCCATTTCTTCATGGCTATGCCAGGCCCTGTGCTAGCTGTTGCGGTTACAGTGGTGAGGACAGACATGCATTTTATAGTCAAGGAGGAGACATGTATTCAACATGTGGTTACAATATGGTGTGACAAGAATTGTGACCAGGAGAAGAATTGGGTGCTGCTGACAAGGGTGTAGGAAGAACTCCTGATGTAGATTTGAGGGGTCAAGGAAGGCTCCCCCAGAGAGAGGATGGGAGAATGAACTAGATAGAAGGAACGATATACGTAAGGGGCTAGAAGAACAGGAACCCGCGGGAACACAGCCCACGAGGCAGGAAATGGCAAAAGAGGCTGCTGAGGAAGTCCAGCCAAATCACAAAGGCTCCTGACTAAAGAGATAGAGAGCCCTTGAAGCCACTGCAGGGCCTTCGCACTGACTGCTCCCTCTTCCTGAAATACTCTCTTGGTAGCCCCGTGGGTGGCTCCTTCAGGTTCTTGCTCAAATGTTACTTCCTCAAAGAGACTTTCCCTGACCACCCTCTATAAAATAGCTGACCCATCACTCTCCATCTCTATCTCCTTCACCTGTTTTATTCTCCATAGCAAGTGTTATCACATGAGACTCTACATAGGCTGTAACTAGAGAGTAACTAGTATGGTTTTGTTCTGTGCTAGAGCCCTAGCACACGGTACCTGGTACATAATAAGTCCCCCGGGCCGGGCATGGTGGCTCATGCCTGTAATCCCAGGACTTTGGGAGGCCGGGGAGGGAGGATTGCTTGAGGTCAGGAGTTCAAGACCAAACTAGGCAACATAGCGAGACCTCAACTCTATAAAAAGTAAAAAAAAATTAACCAGGTGTGGTGGTGCGTACCTGTAGTCCCAGCTACCCTGGATGCTGAGGTGGGAGGATCACTTGAGCCCAGAGGTTCAAGGCTGCAGTGAGCCATGACTGTGCCACTGCATTCCAACCAGGGCAACAAAGCGAAACCCTGACTCAAAAATAATAATAGTAATAGATTAATTAATTAACAATGAATGAATGAATGGACAGAAACAAACTTTTGATGTTTAGGAGATAGAACCAATAGTTCTTTGGTAAAAGACGATATGGTCAGGGAAGGATAGGGAAGAGATGTGGGTCACATAAGGCTGCTGGTTTGGATAACTGGGTAGATGACAATACCACACCCTGATAGATAACACCAAGGGTATTAAGCTCACTATGATCTGAGATAAGACATTGCATTTAGGTGCATACCTGTGGTCTCAGATACTCAGGAGGCTGAGGCAGGAAGAGTGCTTGAGCCCAAGAGTTTGAGACTCCAGTGAGCTCTGATTGATTGCTCACTGCACTCCAGCCCAGGTGAGAGAGTGAAAGCCCTGTCTCACACACACACACACACAAAAGATTGCACTTTAGGAGGGTGAAGTATAGGGAGTCCTGGGAGGGGAAAGGGCTGCCTGTCCAGTAGTATGACAGTATGGAATACCTCAATCCTGCCGTTTATTAACCTTGGGGTTCTGGGTACAGTTGTCCCTTGGTGTCCATGGAAGACTGCCTCCAGAATTCCCTGGAATCCCTAAATCCACAGATGCTGAAGTCCCTCTATATTCACAGGCTCTGCATCCACGGACATGGAGGGCCAATTAGAATCACCCTACCTTTCTGAAACTCAGTTTCCTCATCTGCAAATTGAGGGCCATAATTCTTCCCTGGTGGAGCTGTTGCATTCTAGCATGCATATGCCAGGCCCACAGGAGGCATTCGAGTCATAGTTGCTGTTACTGTTATTATCATTAGAACATCTCTGCTAAAAAGTTGTTTCTTATGAGTCAAGATCTGTGTCCTGTAATCTTTCATTCTGGTCTTACTTTTGCCCTCTGTGCCAACCAGAATGTTCTTCTTCATATTCCCATTCTCCTTCCCACAGCACTCTCTTCTCCGTCCTAGACATTCCTCATCCGTCCTCCCAGAACATGATGCTCACCCAGTTCCCTCACTCTCCTGGCTGTTCTCCCTTAGTCAAGCTCCAATTTGTCACCATATGTTTACATATCCCATGCATATTGAGGCCAGTGCCTTGTGTCTGTTGCTCACAGCATCACCCTAGATTATGACCTTGGCAGTCCACACAAGGTCTTTTATTCCTTCTTCCTCACTCTAGCCCGTGCTTCCAAACTTGACACCTTCCTTCCTGGTCCTTCTTTGCAGATCTCACCTCTAACCCTTCTGGTAAGCCTCCCTGCTCCTTCTTTTCTGATCAAACACTGATCATGATCATTCTCCCCGTCCCTCCTCCAGGCCTGAACCATCTGGTTTGGGCTCCCACCTGCCCAGGAGTGAAGCTCTCCAGAGTCCCCTGGAGACCGCACTGTTGTAACTGACTGTCTCTGCTTCCTAGAAGCACTTGTCAGCACTGTGATGATCTGGCTCCTGCCACCCCCACTGCCACTTCTCGTCTCACCGCCGCCTCCACATCTGCCACTCTCTTCCCTCTTCTGTCCACATTTTTTTCTCCTTGTTTTTCTCTGTTCTCTCCTTTCCCTGCCCCTACTCCTGGATGTCTTAACTTTGGCATTTCAGGAACCAAAACCCTGCCTTCCAGCTGGCAGACCAATCCCACAGGATTGTCTATAATCTCTTTATAGCCAGTTATTTTGGTCCCACTTGCACTCTGAGATTTTTCTCACTTTCCTCTGGGTTTACACCTCTTTCAGCACTTAAAGGGTGACAGACATCTTAGATCAGTTAAGTGAGCTATAAAGGTTAGACTTCTGACTCGGCTGGGGATTGACTAATGAATCCAGGTGTGAAAAGATAAAGAGAAGGGTCACTTTGTTTAAAAGTGATTGAGACTTTTTTCCCCTAGTGAATTTTATCTTTTTTTTCCCTTTTTTTACACTGGGACAATGGAACTTACTGCCTCATCATGCAAGGAAGTCAAACCACAATAGACTGAATTTCAGAGAATGTTTTATGAAACCACAAATAAATACCAGGAATTGTGCTTAATGCTTTCATGTGTATACTCATTAAACATTCCCAAGATGAACCTCATCCTTGGTAACTAGATTAATTGTTCATTCATTCATTCATGAACTCAGTGACTATTCATTGTGCCAGGCACTGTGCTAAACCCTGTAACAGATTCAAAAATAAATATGACACAGTCTCTGTTCCCCAGGAACTCAAGTCTAGTGGCAGAGAACCGACATATCCACTACTGGGTATGACACATTGTGACAGTTGTGTTCATAGTAGTATGTACAAAGTGCCACAGGAGTAAAGAGGGCACCCACTAGCTCTGCCATGGAGAGCTGAGGAAAGGGTAGCAATGGAGGTGACTTTTGAGTAGACTTGAAGGATGAGTAGGAGTTTGCTAACATGCAATAAAGAGAATGGGCTTTAGTGTGAAAGGTCAGGGAGTGTTTTGGAATTGGTATGTCTGGAGTAGAGCCCTCGCTCATGTCTCTGGGCTTTTGCTCAGAGAAAGCAGGGGACGACCTGGGTCACAGAGCGAATGGTAGAGGCAGGGTTAAGCAGTAGAAGCTGGAATTGTCTGAGCCCTGATTCGTGTTCCTTAGCCTCCTACCCTCCATATACCCCCTGTCCCACCCCCACACACCCGTGCACTGCCAGGTCCAGTCTCAATGCCCTTTTCCCTGGCTGAGATGATGTCGTTAGACCAGCCCCTCTCCCAACCAATTCCCCTCATAAGGAGTCTGCCCCTGAGCTCTGAGGATTGTCCCCAGTAGATCTGGGAGGGAAGCAGAGAACCCTTCCCCATCATTTATCTGATCCATTCCAGTGTTCGGTCCTGAACCACACATCTGTCTGTGACCCTATAGATCCGAACTTCTGATCCCTATTGGCTCTAAGATGCTCCTTGCTTGAACATCCCAGAAAGGGAGCTGGATAAACCAGGTTGCCAGCCCTTTACTGAGGAGGAGCCACTTTTAATCCCCAAAGCATTAGGAGGCTGGAGTGAGTTTGTGCTGAAGGCTCCCTGCTCCTTATCTCCTACCATAAGCAGGAATGAGGGCAGTAGGGGAGAGGATTCTTTAGTTCCATGTTAGCTTAGAGATGGGTACTCAAAAAATGCTCCATGGCCTGGCTGGCGTGTCAGCAGTATCTGTCCCAAGATCTCTAGCCATTTCCCAAATGCCTAATTCATCTTAAATGATATTTTTAGTTAATTAATTGACTTTGTTGACAGATA